TCGATGAAGAATTAGTAGTTTGATACTAATTTGTACTCTTGATATTTGTAATAAAAATACTCTTATTACCTTTATCATAAGGTACCACATCTGGATTCCTTTCGTCATAAAGTGGCGGATCATCTCGCATATTTCCAACGACTAATCCTCTACTGGCCACCGTAGTTTTATCTTTGCCACCACCGCCACCTAAACCTCTACCGCCAGCACCACCAACACCAGTTACCAACACGGCGGACGGTCGTCGAGCTAATAGCTTCGGAAATCGTCTTCGAACGATAGATGCCCCAAATACGAGTAAAACTACCAATAGTATCATACATATTATTCCCAGAATTGATGACAATACAGCTGATGTTGATATTGCAAATCCTGATGCAGCACCTGAAAATTGAACAAAAAACTTAAATCTTACATTTTAAGGTATTAGAATGGGTTAAAAAGCACTATGATTAATAGTAGTTGAATTCCAATGATTGCCAAATTGAATTAATTTTCGCTTTCACTAAACAGTAACCAAAGCGATTTCCACTTGATGTCTTTCAAATTGAGTTTTTCACACATCACTTACTTAATTCTATTACTCTGCAAGTCATCTCGCATCTACTCTTATTATTATATAACTATCTTATTATTATATTATATAACTATCTTATTATTATTTTATTCACATAAGGTTAACTAACTTGTCTGTTTTTCTGCCAATTTTAACGTAAATCCTTCCAATTGAACAGGTTCACTACGACCTCTCTGGTTTGCAGAATATACCAAAACTGCATAGGCAACCCCTGACTCGAGACTTCCAATTAGGAAAGTTGGTCGCAGAGATGATAAATTTGCTCTCAAGAATCCAGTATTTTGATCGTACACTTCTAACTGGAATCTTTGGGTTTGGCCACCGTCAAAACCTAGAACGAAACAGTAATATTGAAAAACCAGCTCCTTGTAATAAAACTCATAGAAATAAAAGAAGCTAATTCAAGAAAAAAAACTAATCAAAAACTTGAATATATTACAATATATTATTATCTTTTTTACCTTCCATGCAGTCAACTTCCAACGAATCGACAGTCTGATTCAGCATGGAGCAATTATGTGGAGGGTCTGGTCTTCCTGCAGCAAGCAATCACATGGTAGACGCAGGGCTCTCGTTGCAATCCTGCTGTATTGGCAGCCCAACAAGTAGGACAGTACAAAATCCATTTCACTTAAAGGTTGATACGACAATGTAGAACTGGAGGGTTTAAATTTACAGTAAATCTAAAAAAAATCATTTTGTATTGTATTAAATAGAACAAGTTTACAGTACAGTAGAATAGCTGCAGATCGTAGACCAAAATCGTGTGAAATTTTGATAATTTTTTTCCGGTATCACTTTTATCTATATCACAAACTTAGCAAAGTGTGAAAATACGAAATTTTACCTAAAAAGTTGTCTTAAAATATTTGATCTGATTTGAATGGTTTGATAAATAGAATACCTTGTTCTAGGAACTTCGATGGATTCGGCACTGTTGTTGAAGGCCCATCGAAAGGTATTTGGTTTTGGTAATGATTCGACGTCGCAACGGATTTTAACAATTTCTTGACGCGCCACACCGTACACTTCTTTTTTGCTCCGGCATGCAGATTGGTTTGTCTGAAATTTAGATGCTTAATTATTCCATTTGAATATTTTTCTAATGAAATCTCTACAACCCCTACTTTTTAAAATAAATGTTTAATTATTATAGAACAATCATTTTGAAGATTCAATTGATATTCACAAACTGTATTAAATACACATCAATAAAAGTTTATTAAAAACAGAAACTTTTCTCAGCTCTTTAAAGGCTGTGCAATGATAAAAATATTATTAATATGATCTCTTTTATAATATCTAAAATAAAACTTACACATTACTCTCAAAGAAACAGCTTCACTACTTCCATCGCCTTCAACGTTGGAAGCAACACAACTATAATTTCCAGCTCGATCCCGTCTTATTTTCTGAAGAGCCAAAGCATTACTTTTTGCAACTATGCCTAATTTTGGATTGTGGACAACTGGTTGACCCTAGAAAATTATAGAAATACAAATAAGAAAACATCAATAATAAAGCACATGTTTAAAAAAAAGTTTTACTGATACTGATCTATATCAATATTTTTACTTACATTGTGTTTCCAAACTACTTTGTAAGCATAAGGATTCGAATCCATTTGGCAATCAAAATACACATCATCGCCTTCTTCGATATCATCAGGGTTCATGTTGGCACCAAGAGAAAGATTCAGCATTGGCATATCTGAGAAAAAATTGAACAAATTATGATTAGCATTGTGCAAAAACTTAAGATTGTTCTTGAACTATTTTGCCAATCAGGGTCTGATAAACATGAAATATATTTAACTAATTAATACTTACAATAAACGTTAAGGACAATGGCATGTTGGAAATCCTTCATCCCGATGCCTACCATAGGATTTCCAGTGGCACTAATATTGTGGTAATATGGATGAAGTGCGGTGCATACTAAGGTTTTACCATTGTCTTCACGTCTTGGAGTAAATGTTAAAGTTGAAATTGATACATTCCCATCAATTGTATCCTGTTGAAATTAAAAATAAATACTTAGTAATACACAAAAAACTCTTATACTAAGTGACATAATTTGAGTCAATAAAGGAAACATTTCATATATTTACTTCGAAGAATTTTTTGTACCTCACATGGATGATTTATCTCTGTTATAAGTTTACGATTATTTATGAATTATTTGATGAATTCTAATCTCTTGCTATATTTCGTAATGCTCATGCCTGAAAGTAACTATGAAGTACGAATAAAGGTAGGTAATTTTCTTAACTTATGGCTGCAAATTTTTTTTAAATTATTTTGAAATCAAGACAAAATGGCTTGTGTGAAATATACTCTAAAGTGTATGAGGTATATTTCACACAAGCCATTTTGTCTTTATTTCAAAATAATTTTTAAAAAATTTTGCAGCCCATAAGTTTAAAACATTACATTTTATAACTCTACTTTTATTCATCACATTCAGTTTTCTGCAACGTTCTAATTATAAATTATCATACTATGTTTCCATGATTTATTTTGCAGCCAACATAATTCGAAAGTTTGAGCTGAAATCTCTCTAATGAATAACGATTAACTTGTTTCTGAATAAACGTAGAAGCTACACGAGTAAATAATTATTACACGGGCACCTCATGCTGTATAAATAATATTTAACTAGAATAGTTAGTTTCACGGAATGGTATCGCAAATCAGAACTTCTTAAGTAGAGTTAAATGAAATTGCATACGGCAGCAGCAGAGGGAAGATTCATATTTTGTATGCATATGTGTATAGATAGATAGATACCTGTGAACTATATTGGCTTATTAATAATAGAGCTGAAAATGTTACTGTATAACGCAATGCCTAGCCTGATTGTTGATATTACTATATTAAAAAAAAAACTATTATCATCATAAGTTATCGTAGTCATCCTTGTCGGGGTATCAGCTCACTTCCGGGAATTTTAGTTTGATGCACAATTTTGGAGTTTGCATCATTCGATGACAAATTAGTTTCAATTTTTCATTATTAACTTCCCGAAGGAGAAGTTTGTTTTCATAAAAAAATCCGATTCGCTAATTTTATATATTCTCGACGTTTCAAGCCATTCTGAATCGAATGATACCAAATTTGGAAAAAGTATGTGTGTGTGTGAACAGATTTTTTATCGCAAATCAACGTTTTCTCAAAAACGGCTGGACCGATTTCAAAAATTAAAAAGCCATTCGATGTATCTCGATGAAGATTATCGTTTGTCAGTTTTGTGCGACGATCTGCCAAGCCGTTTCTTTGTAATTTAAAAAAAGTGTTAAACTTTTCGTCCACATTTAAGCTCATACTAACGAATCGGTTTTAAAAAATCAAAAACTGTTCGAAAGATAAGTTGGAAATGATACTGATTAGTTTTAGGTGAAAATCTACGGAGCCGCTTCTTATAAATGGAACTTTTTATGGCGATATATATCATGGTCTTATAGAACTTACTAAAATATTACGGCCATACGACAAGTAGTTTAATTTTAAAATTTCATCAAAGTTTGAAAAAATGAGTAGTTTTTTTGACGATTGTTAAAATTAAAATTAGATTATTTAATTGGTATAACTACATAGAGTACTTGGTCTTAATGAACATACTAAACCATTAAAGTCCTACGAAAACTGGTTCAATTATAAAAATTATTGATTTGTGAAAATTGCTTTTAGAAAACACTCCGAGTTAACGTGTTTGTTCGTTTTTAAATATGTGTGATAAATCTACTCGGAATGCTTTTAATCACTCATAAATTAATTTATTTTTTATTGATAAAGTCGATTATTTACACATATAGGGAAGTGCATGTAACTTGCCTCAAGGCAAAATACCAATATCAACTAGTTGTTTTAAGTTATAAGACTTATATTATAATGTCATAAAGAAAAAATATCGCACCTGAACAAATATATGATATATTAGCATTTTAAAAAGGTAATTTTAGCGGATCTATCTAGAAGAGATGCCATATACAAGTGAAAATTATTTTGTACTATTACATATTACATTTATTAAAAGTTTTATTCTAATTCTATATTTTGCAATTAATTTGAGTATATTTTTCACATAGTCTGTACTTATGACATGTACCCATATCTATGACTCATATCTGGATCCTGTTCGCAAATCTAGTTCAAAGTTTCAAGTATGCAAAATTAACTCATTACAACTTACTTACTTACTATTAGTTTTATGCGATAGAATCAATTATTCTCGTAATGAATAAAGTGAAATATTTTATATAGCATAAAGAACATAATGAAGTTCATAATGTTTTCACCCAGTAGATTAGTAATGTATAAGTCAAAATGTCCTTCATATTACCTCAATATCCTTAAAAAAATAATGTTGCTTACATGCTTTAAGTTGAATTAAATTCAGAATCATAGGACAATTTCGTACTTACATTTTGGACATGTGTAGATAAATCAGTTCCACCCAGACTCCAAGTTATTCTCACCGGCGGCCGCGACCCCACAGATTGACAAGGAATTTCATAAGATCTGCCCGCAGATAAAGGTTGAGGGTTGTTGGTTATCTCCACAGAAAGAGGACGCACTGTAAAAAAAAATTTAAAAAAATATAAAAATTATTTTTTTTATAATTTTTGTATACTAATTTATAAGTTTATATTTGAGTATTTAATAGTTTTGAATAATATTTTTTATATATTAACATTTATTTAACTATTTTATAATCGCAAGTCTTTTCCCGAGATAATACCGAATTCTGTGGAATTTCTCAACGTTTCTGAGAACTTTAATTGCTCGTTTCAGCATTTATGCAATGCTATAGTAGTTAGTAATGGACATTTGTCTTCTGTGAGCATAATGCGAAAGATTAGGTACCGACGCTATGGTTACTGTAAAACGAACATTAAAATAATAGACAGGATGCTATTGAACATTTACTCAAATCAAAGTTTTAACTGAATTTTAAGTTAAAACTAAAAAAAAGACAGAGAGAAAATTGCTGGAACTTCCCGTATCGTAATTAAAGATCTTGGTACGAAACATATACATACATACACACATCGTCCATTTTTTCTATGTCAGTATGCCAAAATGTTCAAAAACCTTTGAAACCTAAAGATATATGAAAACATTCATTTTCGCGATTACTATAACTTCCCCTACGGGAAGTTAAAAAAATACAATTAATATTGTATGATAATCCACGATAAAAGTGCTCTGCCTTCAGATAGATATAGGGTAAAAACTGACAAAATTAAATATATGGACAAAGTGATACTTATTTAAAAATTGGATAGTTTTATTAACGTTTCCGCGACTGTATAACATGAAGAAATCCACAATCACAATTTTCTCAGATAATGAGCGTCATTGTCACAGTCTTGAGTCGCAGTAACCAGTTCAAACGTAAATCGCATCTTCGAAAGTTTATTTTGAGGCTGGTTTTGTCATATTTTTTACCATCTCATAATAATATGAATTAATAAAATTGCAAAACAAACGTTGAAACTGAAGAAGCAGACACAATTTTATATTAATTTACCAATAGAAGGTTTCATACCAAACGAATTAAAAATTACTTTATCTAATAAAAAAGCTTTAAAGTGTTTTATCCTAATCTTTAAGGTGTTTAATCCAAATTTATCTAGCATGGTATCGCAAGTATAGATAAGATACATACAGATAATAATTAGAATTTTGGTAAATAATATATAACAACCACATAAGTGCATAAGTGATAAAAAAGCCTATAATAATTAGAACCTAATTCAGTGTTATTATTTATGATAACAAATAATAACTAGGTAATATTATGTGTGATTCCATATTTTCAATAGCAAAAATTTAGTTGCTAATAATTCTTTATTTACTTATTATTTAATTTGTCATAGCAATCTATACAAAGTACATTAAGTTACAAATTTTTGTGAGAATAACTTAAAAAAACTTATAAAACTTTTAGCTCCTAAATTTTTTTTTATTTGATAAGTGATTTGTTCAAAATTCAGTTTCAATATAACTTTGTATTGATTTCATTGTAAAATTATTTATATTTATAGGCTTCATTCAAACATTTTATTTTGATTAAACTTTAAAAGTGAGTAATAACTCGTCCTTTGCCACAACTATGAAGAAACTTATATAATGCATTTTTTTAACACCTTATTGTCATACTTTAAAATACCATCATAAAATAAAACCAAGTATAAAGTACTATGATGTTAATGTACATTTGTTGTAATAATTTGTAAGACAGAAGGGAATAATTAAGAACTCTGAAAAAAACAAGCTATTTTTGTATTTCACTAATGTGGTTACTTTAAACTGAAATATATTTTGTTCTAGTAAATAGGAAAGAGGGCTTATACATTTTTTTTCAATCATCTATTGTATCACGGAATTTTTTCTTTACACTTGCTTAAAAGTTAAGTATATTTTGTTCTAGTAAATAAAAAAGAGGGCTGCTGCATTTATTTGAATCAGTTGCATCATCTTTATACTTGCTTAAAAATGAATTGTATTTTGTTCCAATAAACCAGAAAGAAGGCAGTTACAGATATTATAAATTTATTTGAATCATCGGTTATCATCACGGTATTTCCCTCTTAAACTTGCTTAGTTATCAGAGTGCATTATAGGAAACCACCCCCGGTACATTTATTATGATCTCAATAAATGAAAATATTTAATAAATACGTACAATTTTCCTCGGGTAGATATTTTTAATCTCGATAAATATTGTACATAGTGTATAATATAAATATAGTAGGTATATATACATCGTTAGCTTTTCAAATAGGACAGTTTCCGACAACGGCTTGACGTTCACGAAGACAAACCATTATTGGCTCTTTGTGTCATCGATCAGATCCCTGTTTTTCCCCCAAGAAGAAAAACACAGTGTCAAGTACGGAAAAATGTAAAAAGTTTGCTTTTCGTTTTGCGACAATTGTTAGATACCGCATGATACAATTTTTTATTGTTGCCCGATATTTTTATTTCAAATTTTAAAGTATAACAATAAAAATTATAGAGTATTTAATTATACATATTATAGGAATACATAATGAATATAGCATGTTGTGATACTGAACTCTTATACATCTTTCTATTATTTTTTATTAGCAGCAGTGTTGATATCATTGAACAGATAAACAAGAAAATAAAATTAATATGGGGTTTGAACTCGCACGAGTTTATGCTATATAGTACCAATATAGCAAAAAAATTGCTATTTTTATCAGAATTTATTGCTATATAGCAAATAACGAAAACAGCTCCTAATTTATATTTTATTTAACGATTTACTATAATCATGTATAGTTTTATATTAGTATATTTCATATCAAACTACCAATGTTGAGTTTAATTTGATTTTTTGCAATATCCTGCTTATGAAAAAGGTATTTGTCAAATGCAAACAACTATAGTTGCAATAATTTGTTTGGCCGGCATAGCTGGCGGCGTTTTCTACCGAGTCGTATACAAATAGTACGAAACGCCGAGAGTTGATAATCGATTTTCGTAAATTTCGGAAAATGATTTATAATTTGATAAAAATATTTTAGATGTAAAAATAAAAAGATTAAACTTTGAAATATTACATATTTCAATTAAGAAGGGTAAAATTTTTCTACAACCAATGTACTCATCGACTTGTAGATTAAATAGTCAATACAATCAATGAATTTTTAGTTTCAGGTAAAACGTAATAAAACAAGATCATTTAGTCAAAGTGAACTATTTTTTCCTATTTTTCAAAATTGAATTTATGATCAACAACCAGATTTATTCTTAGTGTTTTTGAGCTGTTGTGATGTAACATGTACCTCCTATAATTTATCATTATTAAAACCCAATTAGTAAAGTTTTACTCTTTTTATTAGACTATTTTTAAATAGTTCTAATTTTGGCGTGATATCAACCTTGCAGTAATGATTCAAAAGTCTATTTTTCACTTGAAATCATATTTAGATATTTATTTTTAAATGAAATCTAATATCAGGCTTGAAGTAGTGTGGGATTTGAACCCAAAAACTTTGGCAACAGGAGTGCTTTATCACTTGCCCTATGTACTCTGCCTTTTTCTTACATTATACTAATATGTAAAAATTATTATTAATAATATCCACCCTTTTCCCTTCATCTTAGGCACTTGAGATTTGTTTTCAAATATTTCTGTATATATTCAAATGTTTAGTACTGTGTCAAATATTGTAAGAGAAAGTTGGTGTCTTTGTTTTTCAAATTTTAAATATAATTTAAATAAAATATTAAATAATGTATTAGTAAATAATTTTTACTATTTTGAAATTATACTGAAGATGAGGTATACTATAGTCTCAAAACGTCTGTAATTAATAAATAAAGTGTGTGTTAAAAATCTGAGTATTGTATTGTTCATATCTAATATTTAATATTCGTTCCACTCATATCAGAAAATTCTATAATATATATATATATATATATATATACTAAATGAAAACATATTTTTATAAATTGCTTAAAAGGGTTTTGATATTCATGAAAATATATATATATCCCTACGTTACGGGGTGTATTTAATAATTTCCAATCAATGTTATTTTGTCATATATATTAGCATTCTCTTTAATAAAATAAAAATATTTTAAAATGAACATATTGCAAAATAAAATTAAACAAAAACATGAATAGAAGGATAATTGTAGCTCCATACATTGCTTTCCCTAAAAACTCCAGATGCTATGATATTAATACAAATGTACTGTAAATCTTCACCTATATTAGAGGTTTATATTTTTAACCTACCAGTTATTAAGCAAGTTAATTATAAGTTCAGGTAGAAACGATTTATTATTATCGTCATTCTTTTTCTAGTAGCATGTAGTTATATGTGTATATAAGGGTGTATGTATTTATATATAGAAATTGTTAAATATTACAATGTGTCCGACTGATCAAGGCATTATAATAGGAACATAGTGGGATTACGTATTGCGAGTAGCCTATTTTTCAAAATTTTAGTTAATTTGTATAACTAAACCACTACCCATAGGCCTATAATACTCCTCGTTTTAACTAGCAACTGTACCACCATGCGAAGTTTTATCAAAATCCCAGAAGAGTAAACCAAGGTTTTTCTGTACTGTATGTAAGAACATATATTTAAAAAAAAATTAAAAAAACTACTTGAAACCCAATAGCAGTATCGTTTTACTTGTACCGTTTGAAAAATTCCTGTATCGATTGAATAATAATATTCTATTACATTTATTGCCCAGCTTCCTATCTAACAGAAGAAATATATCGTTTCAGAAGAAGGACGAATGCAAATGTAAATTTGAAGCGGAATTGTCTGACCTCACTTGCTTCTATATTGCATTCCCTTGATGTGTTCCCGTCAGCGGGGATGTCGTAACATGTACACGACGTGCACAATAAATGTCTTTGCTGATATTGCTGATAGTTTTGTTTCAATAAAATATTTGAATACCCACTGCACTTTTTAGAAATTCATGTAGAAATAGTAATATATATATATTGGTTGGGCTGGCTACCATCAGTAATTAATAATAAAGCGGACTGTAAGTAAATAATTGTTAT